TTTTTGAGACACAAACCATGGAAGGCTTACCTAAGCACATGACTTAATTTGGGGAGTGTAATGTTTGCCTAGCATGTTATAACTCTAACAAAAGGCATTCACGTCACTTTTCTTATCGAGTTATGACCTGCATTTTCAAATGTGGGTGCTTATGGTTAGCTGCTAAATCAGGTCCCTGATTTACAGCACCATCAAACACGTAAGGATTTTACTGCCTGCCTTGTTTTTGATTTTGTTTTGATAAAAAGCTTAAAATGTCACAGAGTTCTGCAGAGATTAATGAATCACCAGGAATCTCAAAGATCACTTCTTTGACCAAAGTACACATTGAAGTTTCATCTTTGAAGATATAATTATGAGCAGATGAACTGGGTAACTTCCCCACTCACTAGCACGGGGCAGCAATGATCTAATGTACCTGTGGAAAAACTAAGGTCCTGTGCAGAACCTCCATTATTTAACTTCACTTCGATTAAGTTTACTAACTAATGTCTTACAATCATAGAACATAAGAATAAACCCCAAGAAATCTGACTTAACATCAAATTTAGCTCATCTTTGACTAGTATTTTAGACTAGGTAACCTGCTGGTGTTCCTTCTAACCTACACTGTAACTGTACTATGATTCTAGTTAAATCTCATGTAGTGTGATTGTGAAGATTATGTGGAAAACATCAGAAATACTTACTAAATAAGGACATCTCCTGAGCTACGAAAATATTTAGCAAACCTCAAGCAAATTTTTAACTTGATAAGGCCGAGACAACAAAGGTGTTCTCAAGGCCTCCAGAGAACTATTAATTAGGGGGAAAAAAAAAAAAAAAAAGAGCAATGGTAGAATGGTAGTAAGAAGAGATTAGATAAATCTTACATAATATGACTGTGGTATCAATTGCTCCTATCAAAGATGGCATAATATATTGATCAGGACAAAATGTACCAAAGCACAACAAGCTGGGCTTCTATGGTATCAACTGCATTAGTGTTCAGAGGGAAAAATCTAGCTGTTGAGAACACTGCACTGGTCTGAAATCAAAATGGAAAGAAAAAAACAAAACAAACATATCTGAAAGAACACAAGCAATAAAGAGTGGTGAACATCACCTGTCCATGTATTAGTAGACGCAGATTGTTCATACAAAAACTTCCACTTAGGACAGACAAGGTGATTAAATTCTTCTGGATGTAGTTCAGAATAGATTGAAGCAAGTTTAAATGTTTGGAAGGAACACTTTCTTCCCTGAAATGATCTGGCAATTCAGATTATAAAAAGATTCAAAGTCAGCATCAAACCATGAACTTGTAAAGAGAGATTTGCAGTGCGTTCATTACTTCATATGGTCACGTAAATTTCAAGCTTAGTGACACTATCTATATACTACTCCACGTGACATTTCTCATGAATAGAAGGCCAAATCTCATTCATTTTAATCATGTTGGTTATCAGAGAGTGTTCTATTTACAGATGCATGAAAAGTATGATCTCATAAGTTAGCCAAGAAGAAATCAACAGGTCTATATTTTGCCTTCTGCAGCCTGATGTAGAATAACAACATCTCCAGAACTGGTGGTCATTACTGATGTGGGAAAAGCCATGTTCCTTCAGAAAAATAAAATAAAATAAAATAAAATAAAGTTTTACTTTGAGAAAAACAGGGATTTCATTAATTCTCTTTTCCATTAAGTATTTTACCATTCAAACTGATTAGGTGTGCCAGCTCAATCTAAGCACAGTACACCTCATACCTTTTTCCCTTCATATAATTTTACTCCATGAAAAACCAATATTAACAGAGATGCAGTTTTTATTTGAGAATTATATGATCATTAAAATATTACAGATAAGGTTTATACTGTTGATATATATGAACTCAACCTTACATTAACCTAGAGCTTTTACAAAGTCCTACAAGTCATGGCAGGAATCAGACAGATGTAACCTTACTCCTCTTTACTTAGATTTCCATGGAAACCACTTTTCATTACTAGACCGGGTCCCAGACTCATTTTTATTTTTTTCCTAAGATACCAAGGTCAAACCATAATTAATGTTTAATCATCAATACTGTTTTTATTTTTTTAAATAAAAACACAGCATTACCTCTATTTAAAAGAAGAAGGGAGTAAGATGTTGACTAACATATATTTAAAAGCATTTAATACCTTCATATTTAATAAAATAATGATAATTTCTGCTAGGCAATGTTATGCATGCTAAGTACCATTACTGATCCAGCCCATGTTGAGACAGCTGACATGTCACAATTATTTCTATATCTAAGCATATTTGAAATTTAAACTCAGAAGAATTGGAAATATTAAGTATGCATAATCAAGGTTTAAATGTACAAGCCAGAAGTGGTGGAAGCATACTTTTCCCCTCCCAACACTTCTTTAAGATTCTTAAATAAATCTTTTACTAGGTATATCTGTTGGGTGACATATAGTTGATGAGCAAAGTCCTGTACAGATTTGAATCACATGTACATTTCATTATTTTTCCTTTTTACGTAAAGAGTTTGTGGCCTTCTTTAAAAACTCATATTAATAAAATAGGCATCATTAAATCCAGCTCTTCTTTTTGTTGTCTTGATTCAAAAAATAAGATATGCTTTCAAGACGAAGTAACTCAGTGACAAAGGTAAATAGGCCTTTTTCTGAAGAATCAATTAAAAGTTTAAATTAACATAATGCAATCAAAAAGGAAAGATGTAAACTCAATGTGGGAATTTTTTGTTTGATAAGTTCCAACTTTCAGACGCAGCTTACTTTTAAAATGATACCATTTCTTTGACAGATAATAAATATATATATATATATATATGTATGTATAAGGGTCAGAATTCTCAATAGATTTAAATTAGCTACATTTTTTAACATTGATGGAGAAATATTAATTTTTATCAGTGGGAAATGTGACTCAAACTTAATCTGAGAAATAATCCTGATCTTACAAATTATTCAGTCTTATACATTGTGTTTTACCTGATTGGCAGAGGTGTCTTATCAGGTAGATGCTACTGCATGTCTTGTTGGTTAAAACCATCACAAGGAAAAAAACAATGTCTTGATATAAAGGAGTTCACTTTATTTCCTTCTCAATAATTAAAGAAATCTAACATTGAAAAGGTATTGGGAAACCACACAGTCAAATAATATTAATATGCGGAGGTGGGATATGAACATCAAGTTACTCAAAATCAACACTGTCCAGGCAGAAACTTGCATCTTACAGAATAAATTACTTGTAAAACTAAATGTCTATATGAAATATTAAAGTTTAAAACCATTCCGTATAACCCATTTTAAATACAGTCACCCAACTTAGGCTGCCTCTTCTCCAACCGTATCTGAAAGTGAGCAGGCACACTGTATCAATCAAAAGAAGACTGCAGTGAGAAAAATAATCCCCCATCAAAGCAAAATACATAAATACATAAATAAGGCCAGCGTTACATAAAATATCAGCAGTACTGCAAAGTATTTAAATGAGAGCTTAAAAACTTACGTTTATTTTTATCACCCTCCTCCTGCCCCCCTCCTCACCACCCCAGTTTTTCACCTTTGCCCCAGCCTGCACTTGTTTTATTTTGGCACTTTAAGAGTCAGGTTTATTAGGCAAATATTTAGGAACTTGTCTTCAACCAAAATCCTGTTCACAGCTGCACCTGAGAGTTACTCCAGCCTTGGATTGGAGCAACTCTCGGGGATCAGCAAATTGTTTGCACAGCCACGGAGGGGGAATTAAAAATCTTGTTGAATCAGGATTAGCAGTCCACAGGAGGAGGAGGAGGAGAGCTTATTTCCATAAGCTCTTCATCTCCCAGGCTGCTTCTCTACTCTCTGTGGCCTGCAGACATGTGTGACCCAAAAAGGAAAAAATAAAAAATATGAGAGAATGCACGAGTAAGACAGAAGAATAAAAAGACAAGAAGAAAGAAGAGGCTTTGTCAGTGACTGACTATGTCTTTGCCTTATCTTCTGGACAGGGTCTGAGCCAGTCCTCCTGCCCCTTCAGATGTACTTACTACAGCTTCCCACGCTTGGAAGTGCATAGCAGTGTCAAGACAGATCCAATAGTATGGCTAAGCTTTGTTCCTACCCCAGGCTACATTGCCAATCAGGTTAAACTTTGTGGTGCTGTGTTTATTTCTGTCTTCTGATTAATGGTAGTACAGCTGTGTATGCTGTCTGAAGTTCCACATCAGCCACAACTGCCTAGCTACCTATGTCTCTAAAAAGTCTGGACAAGAGCATGCTTTCTAACCTCATGGGTTCCATCAGCTGCTCACCATTTGCATGCACACCAATAATGTCTCAATCCAAAACAAAGTGCACAACTGTAGCATGCATCTTCCGTGCTGGAAGAATTAATAAAGCTGACTGAATGAATAAAGCTATAATATATTATTGTAATAATATTAGTCTTACTCTGAAACTAGGCAATAATTTTCAGCTGCATTAGATTTCTTGTACTGTGAACTCTCCTGAATGTCAACTAAGAGAGGGCTCAAAGCAGCTGCAGCTGAAAGACGTCTATCAGTGCAGAGACATAAATTTTTTTTTCCCACTAAGAACCAAACCACATGTTCCTTTACTGATTAGGGAGAAAAATACCAACTCCAACGAAGGTATTCAGTAAACATCTGAGGTTGGAATGCTTGTAGAATTGCCATCAGCCACTTAAGATCCTTAGTGATCACAGGCACCACTGACACAGCCTCCTCTCTTGAATGCAGCTAGGTTGTTTGAAGTACAACAGGATTGTGTGTCAGGCTGGATATCAGGAATAATTTTTTCTCAGAAAGGGTGGTAATGCCCTGGCACAGGCTGCCCAGGGAGGTGGTGGAGTCACCGTCCCTGGAGGTGCTCGAGAAACGTAGAGATGTGGCACTGAGGGACATGGTCAATGAGCGTGGTGGGGATGGGTTGATTGTATGGGAATTACTGAGTCATGGCCTGAACCTCTGATTGATCACCTGGGGCAAACAATGTGTCAGCCAGAGGAGCACAGGTGAAGGCAATTCACCTGTGCTGCTGGAAGGGGTGGAGCCAGGCTTCACCCCTCCTAGACCTATTTAAGAGCTGGCTACCAGTGGGGAAGGATCTTGGCTGGAGATTCTTCCTTCTGGTGTTTTGTGGTGAGCTCAGCATAAGGGTAAGCCTTCCATTTATTCTCTCTTGTTATCATAGTCCACTTTGCCTACCTCTCTTGTTTATTTTGTAATTGTAACATCTTGATATCCATTGATTATACAGTTGATGGTTGGACTAAATGATCCTAGAGGTCTTTTCCAGCCTTTATTATTCTAACATTACTCCTATGTAAATCAAATCGCAGCCAAGTAGAACATATATACTTCAGTTATGTTATTAGAAAGTAATCATAGGTAATATGCATATCCATGTGGATCTATCAGACTCAAAATAAATTTGGATATACATGAGAAGCCAGACAGAAGCAATCCTTGCTTTATACACTAACATTTTTCTTCTGTTTTTATTTGTTGTCCCAGGAGAAACAAGTGAACAATTCTTTCAATATTAATTGGGGATAGATATATCTACCCTAATCTCTAAAATGCAGTGCACTCCAAACCATATCCTTCTCTGTAATAGTTTATCCATCATCAGGTCTTCTGACAGCTGCAATTCAGTAGAATCAGAAGTAGAAAACAATTTATGAAGTGCTCAAAAGAAGAGAGAAATCATGCATGTCTTAGCTGTGGGGTCATCTCAATCAACCATCCTTTAAGAAGCTACATCTGAGACTTATGCTAAAGTTGAAATTTCCCCTTTCCTGCCCCTTTTCCTTTTTTATGTACCTGAATTGTTTATTTGACATGATCTTTTCCATTCTAGAGTCCCTACTGCTGTCAGTACTTACACATTTCAAGTCCACTGGAACTTCTCAGGTGTGACTGTACACCATTTCAACCACTTCTGCAATTTTCCTTCTCATAGACTGCTTCACGTATGAGGAGTCACTTAAAGTCATTTAGATGATCTTTAGCGCCTTCCAAATTGCAATTGCTCATCCAGATTTTCCCAAAGATGACTGTGATATTATTGCATTTGCCTAGACCTTTCTAGGAACAGTCTGAATCTGGGTGCTCCTGTAATTGCTTCCCCAGATTTGTTGGATCCTACTGGCAGAAGACATGAAAACCCTACTGGGAGATCTCTGTACTATGTTTTTTTTCTTGGCATAAAGCACCTAGACTACAAGAGTGCCATTTATCTCTTCTTTTTTGCACTGTTCTTCACATCCCATATTTCTTAATTTTCTTCTGAAGTCTCATCTCTTCAAACTTTGTAACTAGCGACAAGTAACGTTAGCACCACCCCTCCAATTCTTTATCTGGTCTTGATAGCGTGAAAAGGAATCACTTCTTTCCCTTTTTACATCAAAGAAAGTTCAGTTTCCAACACAAGCACATCTTATGCTGCTCAGGGAACCCACACAGACCTGTCTCACCTCTTCTCTATTTTGTGCAGCTGATGTTCCTCCAACGTCAACTACCACTCAGCAGAGCAGCCAAGACTTGCTGTTGATATGTGAGCTAAACCCTATAAGACAATCAAGCCAGAAGTTGTACAGCCACCCTTATTATTTTCTTGGCAGGAGCAGCAAGGTGACAGGGAGGTTGCTCTCCTAGTCATACCTAAAATAAATAAATTGATAGATAATGCAGTGTGTGTAAGATGCATTTTCCAGCGATGTCTTCAGTACATTTTTGCATTGTTTTGTTTTTTAGGACTGGTTTGTTTTCTTTAGGACTGGTGCAGTGGCACATTGCATTACTGCAAACTGGTGCTGATGCTCAGAGGCTGTGCCCACTCTGTCAGGATTCAAAATATTACCAGAATCTGCAAGTAAGCAATAAGATATGACAAGGAGTGTGATACTGTAACATAACAATGTACCTCTAGGGACACCTGTGAGGAAGGAGGTGAAACTGAGTGTATTCAGCTGCCCAAGGTGCAATTTCTATCTCAAAATATAATGTAATAAGATGTGATAATAAAAAGGCACAGAACTGAAACAAACCATGTCTATTTTAGAATGTCAACTTATTTATGCAGTATACTAAAAAAAAAGTTTTTCATTTCCTGCCTTCTAAACAAACTACTTATAAAATTAGCAGATATAATTTGAAATAATGTTTATAAAGCCATTAGCCATGGTAGTCCAGGATTATAATTTCCTCACATGAGTTCTTATCCAAGAAACACTTACACAAAAAAAAAAAAACATTTCCAGTATCAAACTGGATCAATGCTAGAACTGGGCTCATTCTTTTGTCTCATTTTAAATATCAGAGCTATAGGAGCACCCATAAAAAAACATAATATACAATCAGGCAGTGAGTGGTGTGTTTCAGCAGTGGTGATGGTGACAGAAAAGCCAAGCCACATTCTGGTCAGGCAAGCAGATTTTTACAAGCTCAGCATGCATGCTCTTGTGAAAATGCACAGCTAATAGTGGTGACTGTGCTGGAAAAATAGTGCTTTGTAGTGTAGAATTTGTTCTATCAGATGCTGCTATTGTGCTCTTTGTATTTATTGTAGTTTCTCTGGAAATAAATAGGAGGCTCTACTTTTGGAGCAACCCACATACATTCATTCCAGTGTTAAATGGAAAACAAACAAAAAGAAAGCTGGAAGGCCAAACTGATGCATAGAAAATAACTACTGTAGGCTTCACTGTGATTATACTTATTTAAACACTGAAATCCCATTGGAATGAAAATCTCAGCTCCAGTAGTAGCTCCTGTTACTAGCCGTGCCTCAAGCCATTTTTTTAAGCATGTGCATGAATGTAACCCCATGAACAGCTAAGTTCCATTGATTTCAGTGAGAGCACTCACAGCCAAAAAGCTCGTAACAGAGTCTTGCATTGGGGTAGCTGTTATTTCTTCTTGCCAGTATTTTATCATTCTGAGCTGTCTAGTTTAGCTTGTGGATGACTTCAACTCAGCATGCAAGGATGCACTGTCCTTATTTTTGCTCTTTACAAACTTTGAGATGTGTTATTCAATTTTGCTCTCTAGCATAAGTCTCAGCATACCTGCACAAAGCAAAATGTAATTTCTCTGTCTTTTTCCCCCTGCAAAGATGGAATCTGCTACCTTGACTCATGAGCTCAGCAACGCAGGATTATGTCAGTCCTCAGGTGGGAGATCTTCTTGGGGAAAAGAGGTCAGAAAGTGTTTGTGCCTTAATGGACAGCATCATTACTTCAAGTGCTGACGCTTTGTTCCTGCTTGGCAATGTTTCTATCAGTGGATTGTGCTATAGGAAGAGTCAAATGAAGGAATAAAACTGAGGTTTTGGCTATTTGCCTCCCTCCATAGAAATTTTCATAATAACATCCCCAGTGTTATGTCTGGTTTCAAATTGGGATAATTGCATTCTGCCTACCTGAATTTCTGTTCTGGAGTACAGTTGGATAAACTAACACTTGCTGCCAGAATTCTGATGTTGTTTAGGGGCACAATATACTTTTAAATAATTGTAGTTCTCCTCTCCAGAGACAGGTTTGAGACAATTCACATGCAGCAGTGGTAAATATTAGAACAATACATATAAATAAAGGAATTTCAGGAGTGGTTGAAGTGATTCCTTTACACATGCTCACACACAAGCACATGACCCTTCAAGATGAGAGGCAGTATATGAGACACTATGTTGTAAGACATTGCAGTGTTATTATGCTTTGTATGGAGGATGCAATATAAAATATTAATGTATTTCATTAAAATGACTCTTAATGTCAATATGTAGTGTGACTACGCCGTGATTTCTTATGTTAGTAGGTGCTTTACTAGAAGTTATAACTTTACATTATTCAACCACAATCGTCTCTGTAGCAAATGTATTGTCTCTGTTATCAACTTACATATGCCCCATGAAAAACCATTGCTATGGTGATGAGTATTTTATGGTACAGTATTCACCTAATTATAAACTGTTCTCTAGCAGAGGTGCTAACATTATTTTCAACAGCAAAATCCATTTTCAAAATTAAAATATATGCAAATAATTGAGCCATAACCTTCAGCAAACAGCATTTTTGATTGATAATTATTTCTGTGTATTAAAAATATTAGAGGTAAATGTAAAAGTTATTGCAATGGGTATTTAAGAGGGCTTATTTTTATAACTCTAAGGCGATGTGTACCTTTGTTATTTGCTGACAGACTATATGCCGTTAAATTGGAAAAGTTACAATGGAAATAAAATTATCTTATTTCTACATGAAGCATAAGATCATGCAAAAGAAAAATGCAAGATCTGGGTTTATTAAGCATTTATTTCTAAACAGCATCATCCCTAGAAAATGGCATATTTAGTTCTCTGACTTTATTACCACTTCCATGCAGCTCAATGTTTTTTCTTCAAATCATTATGAGGATTATACTCAGTCTGAGAATTTGACACCTGCTGTTTCAAAACTCAATCACAAATGTTTCAGGATATAAATCAGTTAGTACAGAAGAGATGAATAAGATTCAGACTACAATGTAGGAAGATTTAAAATAAATAAATAAATATTATTTGCAGTAAGTAAAATAAGTCAAAACAGTTATCCAGAATCTGGAGTGAATATGCTGCATGTGTTTAAACTAGTATTATCAAATATACAACAGAATGGTAAAAAGAAAAAAAAAAAAATGAAACAAAACTCCTACTAGCAGAGGAAGTAATATTGTTTGAATCCCTTAACAGTCAGTACGAAAGCAGCAAGACTACAGGGTACAGATGATGGTTGGATGGTTAAGCTCACAACACCAGAAACGCTTGAATGAGAAAGAATGTAACATCACTAGGTGATAATGGGTAAGAAAAATGTTTGTTCTTTTTATTCATTAAATAGGAAAATTATACAGTACTCGATATAATTTAGCATCTACGATGCTATAATAAACATGATAGTGATACTTAAAATTATCTATTTCTATTCTTTATTCCTCTACCTCTTCTTCTTTTCCTCTTATTTAATTATTGTACCATTAATTTTGTACAGTATTTTTGGGGCACATTCTTATAAGAGAAGCTGTAATGTATCAATCAAAGTATTGGAGAATATCATACTGATGATAATTCAAATAGCATCATCTATCATCTGTATTTCCTGTATTTTTAGCAGGGTTTCTGTTTGGTAAATTGTTTAGTCATAATCTTAACTTTAAGCATGCACTGAAATTGTCTGCATTCATCCAAATATTCAAGCATATGCTTCAATTGGAATGAAGTGTGTATGTAGGGTTAAACAGATGCTTTGCTGAACTGAGGCACGGATCCTAAAATTGTGAGCCTGATCCTTGATCTATTGAAGGCTTTCAACTCTGCTGGATGTTAGTTCTTTTGTTATGTGTAAAGCAGTCCAGGAAAGATGAGATACTGACCCTAAAATGAATAACAGTACATTCAGCCAATGTTTTTGCTCATGTCTGTTTTGAATAGAGATGGGATAAAATTAAGGTCTAAAAACTGCCATATTTGGGGAAAAAAATAGGAAAGAAGGCCTGAATTTGGATATAGTCCCAATTTCTGTCTTTTGTCTGAAGGTTATTGGTGTTGGTACAGTACAGGAAAGAACTGATTCCAGCCTGTTTTATTTTCTATTTAGGATTTTATTTAATGTGTTGCATTTCTGCAGCACAAATACTGGCGCTTGCATCATTTCTTTAGGAAAACATTTTGAAGGGAGCTCCTGTATAATGAGGTGATGTCTATTGTGAATGGAGGCAACCAGTTCATATAAATATATCAAATTATTAGAACTTCTTTTCATTTCTCTGCTCCTACCTGAAAACTCTTCCAGAACTTCAGTCTTCTGCTAAGTTATAAATCTTCTCATTTCTGTTCTGGATTTGTTTACAATCAGTTCATACTCATTTGATCTTATGCCAACATTGTCTTGGATTTTAACCTCACACTAACACAGGAAACAAAGTGAGAATTTTTAAAGGAGAAAAAGGGATTACACTGTTGAAAGTCTGTTATACTGTAGAAAATTCAGAAAATTGAAAATGCTGCTGCATTCTGACTTTTGGATAGACTTCATCCCTTATGTTAGAAACCACTGAAATCTAAAGAAATGTAGTTTCACATTTCTCTAGAGAAATAGATGTAGAAGTCTCAGCCATCCTGACAATAACAAGAAAACAACCGAGAATTTATCCTTAGAACTAATTGCATCTAAAACAAGAGGTAACTTTGTCAGATTTCTAGTCTGTTTAACTGTTATTTTGAAAAAACACTGGTCAAACCACCCCTCACTGGGATACACTTTGTTTCTCACAGTCAGAAAACTAAGAATGTTATCCTCTGTATTCTCCAAGGTTTCTGGATTGCACCAGTTTGAGGCTATTTACACAAAAGTCATTGTTCTATTAGGTCAAATTCTATTTTCCTCCTCTCATTGAACTGGTCATTTAACAGGGGGTTCTCAGCAAAGATGAAGTTGGTGTTGTCTGTTTTTGTAAGTAAAAATACAGACATCTTTCTACAGTCTTGTCCCAAGCCTGCAGCTCTCTTTTGACACACATAGCATAGGCAGAAGATTCAAAGAAAAGTACAGTTCCTGGTAGAAAAGTAAATATTTTGTCTGGTTAATCTTTTCAAAAAGATGGGACAAGATACCTGTGCAGGATCATATGTCTTTCAGTCACAGGAAAACACCTACAGATATAGGTAATGTTCAACGCATTCCATATGTAGTAATCTCAGATTTTTGTTTAAGGCAATGAAAGAACACAATGAATTTTCAAGATTTTCAAAGCAATGGAGTATTGCAGATACCTCCTAAACTGCAAATCACGTTTATAGTTTGAATTTAGCATCGTACATCATGTAAAAACATAAAGACACTTGAAAAATAGGTAAGTAGAAAGACTTAACAACTTGAATGTCAATGGGAGAGAGTGACATTAAAACTAGAATATTTGTACTTCAGTGTTTGTACACAAAAATATATAATTTCATGAAAAAAATCTCAATGTGACAAAACAGCTTGACAAATCCAATAAAAACTTTCTCATTCTCAGACCACCAATACTACTGTGCCCTGTAAGTAAAATTTTCGTGTTAGAAACACTTGAGTCCAACTTCATTGGATCATAGGAGAAGATAACTTTTATAAATGTTTAAAGCCTCTGATAGGACACTGAGAATCTCTAAAGATATCTTTCTGATAAATAAGCTCATCACACTGAAATCTTATCCTCTTTTTCAGGGTGACAAGGAATCTTGTAAAGTTAGCTCTACTTCCAAAACTCGGGGAAGAAAGTAAAAATATCCCATAAATAGTAAGGATTAAAAAGGCTAGTGCCCAATCCTATTGATTTCACTTCGAGTTGAGGGCACTCAGCACCTTGCAGGAGGCTCTTGCGACATCAGACTATCAGACTCTTATGCAGAAGCAAATCTTTCATTGATTGCTCTTAACTATAAATGAAGTCATTTCACAGGAAATAGCACAGAATGTCAAATATGTTACACTCTAGGCCCATCCTTGCAAACATTTATGCACAGGAGAGCATTAACTCAGATGAGCTGATTTGGTGCACAGGGACCAGGAGTCTCTCTCACCCATCTACCCAGGCAGAACTGGGCTGCCAATGGGCAGATTTTCTCCTCTCCCTCATTTTCCATCACATGCCACTTTGTGGTACATGAACTCTATATGCAGTTACTCCCTTACAAGCACTCTCATAAATGTTTCCTCTCCCTCGCTTTCTAAGTCATTTTGTATATTTTATTTCCTTTCAGTAGCATGAACTTTCCAGTACGCCCAGCACCTGTCCCTTTAATATAGCACACAGGGTTCTTTCCCTCCATACTGTACATTATCCTCATTAACACATATCAGTCAAAAGCACTGTTAATTAAACTGGCAAGATGATTACACACGCCTCCATGTGCCCCCTCAGAGCATCCGCTTGCCAAGATTTTTTCCTCCCTCATCTAAAGTGGGTGGAGAAGGCCCTGAGTAAACCAGAATCTAATGCTAAAAAAAAAAATCCCAGTGTATTGTTCTCTTGGAGCAAAATGGCTCACACATCACCACTGTTCCTCATAAATGCATACAACACTGACACCAATCTGTAAAACTAACACATGCATATTTGATACGTACAGACATTGCATACAGTGACATTTCCTTACAAATCTCCTTTCCAGATAGAAGACTTAATACACTGACCTTGAAACTTATGGAGACATTGTAAAGAATTCATTAAATCTGGGCAAAACCCAACTGGTTAGGGGAGACTGGGGTGTTTAATGTTCCTTTTATTATTTTTTATCTGAAACGTTTTCCAGATATTCTCTTCACTTACACTTGTTTGTGACATTTCTTTTAGGAAATTCCTTGGCTTCCAGCAAACAAATTTCCACAGCATTTCAAAAGTTATAACAATTTTTGCCACATTGCCACAAAACTCTTAAGAGAGTTTGCAATTCTGTAATGTGCTTTGGATCAAGCTCTCTTCAAGAATACTATTGGAATGACAGGGCTGGAGGGTATAGCAGCAGAGTGTAAATAAAGGCAGGCAGTGGTGATCCCTGAAGCAGAGATAATGTACTTTTCTAGTACACATACACAGGCCTGATAGCTGCAACATAAGCCATCCAACCATCTTGCTAGCAGAATACAATTCTAAGAATCTGTAAGAAAATGCTCCTGCAATGAAGGAGGTAGTTTTGCTGAAGTCCATCATTGACACTAAAAATGTTTACTCCATAACAGAACATGAACACCTAAACTTCTGGAAAATAGGATTGGTATTCAGCTGACTGCCAGCAACCAATTCTCCAACAAAAGAGATGCCCTTGAAGGCTGAAAAAACAAATTAGGCGTAGATCAAGATAGTAAAGTGTCTTCCTATTCACTCTAACTTTTTTTTTGCACCAGAATTTTGTTTTCCCATCCTGTATCAGGAAAAAGTCCAAATTTTGAACATGCTTGTGAGTTGATGCAAAATTAAGGATTAGCTGAAATGATGTTGTAGTATTTGGTTTCAAATTCAAGCAAACAGGTCATTTAACAAAAATTAAATATAAGCTGCTAGTTGAAAAACAAAAAAAAAAAAAAAAAACAAACAAACAAACAAACAAACAAAAAAAAAAAAAAAAGATTTTTTTTTCCAATTAGGAAATTCTCAACTATTACCCTCTTCAACAAATATTTCCTATTTTGAGTAATCTCTGTTTTCCAGTCATGAAACAGACATGAAAATTCTTGATCAGTAGTAGTGGCAATACTGATATCTCTTATGAGAACAACAGATCCACTTTGACATAAAGGAAGAAAAATTGCTATGAAAGTTCTTCAAGATGGCCATACATAGATGAGCAAACCTTCATTTCTTCTCTTTGATCTTCAGACTCCTTTATTTGAAGAAAAAAAGATCCTCCATGTGACATAAACTAGCGTTTTCATCGATAGTGCCTACAAACAGTCTAGAAATACAGTGTCCTACATACTGGCTCAGATAATGACTGTAAAGCCTCTGAAATCAAGGTTGCACTATGACAGAATTTCAGCTCCTGTAAATAACTGATCATTTTAAAGTGAAAAATATTTATTATTAATAAAATGAAAATCGCAAACCTTTAACATCTACTGTAATGTATCATTAAATTTCAGTTCTTTATTTATTATCTAAAACATTCAGCTGTTATACCTTAATCTCAAATTTGGCTGCAAGCACTATTTGATAGCTATATTCCAAGCTCTGAAATTAAGTGATGTTTGAAATATCCACTCTGTGAGGAAGAGAAACGTCACATGCCCAGAGAAACATATAGTACATTTATGTACAGGTATTCAAAGGCCTTATGTGAAAAAGGTAGCCTACATTTTCCCACAGAATAGACTACCCCTTTGTATCCGTGCAAAATTTACAGCTTGTTTTATCCGCTACTTTA